ATACTGGTCAGTTTCCATGAAAGGTCCCAGATGATGAAAATACGGGTTGTTTCTTTTTTTAGTGGTACATCCCATATTGCTCTTCAGACTCAACCCTGCATGCTGCAGGTGTCTCTCCTAGAAACACAGAGCGGTTGGCTGCTTTCAGCCTGCAGCAAGGGTCATAAAAAATCTCCCAAATTTAAATATTCTAGCAAAGTAAGTTGGGACATTATCTCCAATCAGATAGCTTTTATTTTTTATATTTGTTCTTTATTTTGTAGCTTTGTCACTGTGTGGCACAGACCATTGGTGGATGGGAGCTTTGCCTTTAACTTGCTGAACAGGTGCTTTGATAAAGTATTCTTGTCGATGTTGATTACAGTAACAAGTGCTGCTGCTGTCCTTTCAATAAAAGGCTTCACTGTCTCATCACAGCTTTAAGTGGTCCTGAATGCTTTTCCCAGTCCACACACATCTATTTTAGCCACAAATCCCTGTGAAATGCTTCCACTGTGGAGTCCTGCACCATTGCCGCAGACTTCCTGCTTTCCACTGCACCAAGAAAAGCTTTGTTATTTTATTTTGAAAACATGGTGGTGAAGCAAGAAAGAAATTGCCTGCTAATAGGCAGTTTGTTTCACAGTTGACATTCTGAAAGCTGATCGGTGGATACATCTGTTGATGAGATACATCGAGCCACCTGTTGTGTCAAATCCTGGTTCAAGGTGTAAATACGAGCCCTGAAAATCTTACAGCTCTCGTCAACTGACAGCTAGATGGGCTTCCTGCACAAATTCAGTTTGAGAGGAAAACAAATTTTCAACCTGCAGCTGATTTCAGCCACGATTAATCTGTCTTTGTTTTCATTCTGTATAGATTCTTCAGGTTCAGAAGGTGGAGAGGCGATGGAGGAGCTGATGGAAGCAGTTTCTTTACCAGACAATGGACCGGGTGAGAATTTAAATGGTTAATATAGAAATTATTTTCAGTAAAACAAACTAACAAAGACTCTGATAATGTGTGATTTCAGATTTTAAATTAGAAAATAACCAGAAACATGACAAATTGGTCGTGGGTGAGCGTTCACACTGAGAGCAGTTCAGATCAGATCTTCAGACATCCCCTGTGCTGAGTATAAAAAGGTCCAGTGTACCCTGCATGGGACCTGTTTACTGTGGTCCTACCCACGAGCCTTTGTGGGGTAGAGGGGTCTGGTGGGCGGGTTTTAGCCCATGGGGCCCACAGGAAGGGTTGTAGGGTCTGGTGATTTGTGGATTGGGTGGAGGTGGAGGTTATGGCTCTCTGATCCCTGGCTTCCAAATTCACAGTGTGGCACCTGGAACATCAACTCCCTGAGCAAAGGAGCATGTGCATGATGTCAGGAGATACTGACAGGATATAGTTGAGCTTATCTACCACCCAGATAAGTGGTAGAAGATGGTTAGATGGCTGGATGGATGACTTGTAATGCTGTGGGGCTGGGTATCCTAACCTTAGACAGCATTAAATTAGCCTTTGGGTCTTAAAAGTAAAGCCAGTGTGCAAGCTGCTAAAACTTAGTCTTAATGGGAAAACTTGGGTTTCCCGCTCTGTGACATCTGTAAAGAATGAAGGTAACTTTATAAATTATTCTCATTATTAAAGTCAGACGGGAGGCCTAAGGAGCTTGGAAAGAAAAGCATCTGGAGAGTCCCAGATTTCAATCCAGACGCTTTTCTTTCCAAGCTCCTTAGACTACGATGACCTGGATGAGTGAGAACCTTCACAGACATATTGCCGTCAGACAGGAGGATTATACAGAGTCTGCTCATTAGCTAACAAACCAATCACGAATGTTTGGCCGTGGTGATTTCACAGTAAGAAGTGATGATAAATGAGCTTCTTCTCCTGCATCATATGTGTAAACTTCGATCTTTCCTTTTGTTTAGACGCCACAGCAGATTGTACCTCCGCGGACTCAGCGGAGCCCGAATACACCGAGAGCCAAAAGCGTCTGGAAGCAGAGGTTTTGAAGAAAGGCAGAGTGTTTGTGTGTGACATCTGTAACAAGACTTTTAACCGACTCTTCCACCTGATGAAGCACATGAACATCCACAAAGAGCAGCGGCCTTTCACCTGCGACCAGTGCCCGAGAAAGTTCAGGAACGCAGCGACTTTTGAGTACCACCTGCTGCGACACGAAGAGAAGAAGTACGCCAGCTACGAGTGCGAGCTCTGCCAGAAGAAGTTCAAAACGAAAATGGGGCTGAAGACGCATCAGGTGGTGCACACGGACGAAAGGCCGTTCGCCTGCTCCACCTGCGGGAAGGGCTTCAAGACCAAATACAGCCTAAAGTCCCACCAGCTCGTGCACACGGTTGAGAAGCCGCACAAATGCTCCGAGTGTGGAGAGAGCTTCAAATACGCCTTCACCCTTCAGTGTCACAGAAGCATCCACACTGGAGAGCACCCGTACAAATGCACGGTGTGCGGCAAGGTTTTTATAAAGAGACGATCGCTCAGGACGCACCAGGCGGTCCACAGAGGGAAGATGTTTACCTGTGAGACGTGCGGTGCTGGCTTCACCCTCCCTCAGAACCTGAAGAGACACATGCACATCCACACGGGCGAGAGGCCGTTCAAATGTAAGGTGTGCGGGAAGGGTTTCATTCAGGCCAACAAGCTGAAAGCACACATGCTCCTTCACGGCGCTTCAAAGCCGTACATGTGCGACCTGTGTGGGAAGACGTTTCTGTACAACTGCCACCTGAGGAGACACCAGAGCGTAACTCATGACGAGAAGCACGGGCAGGTCATGAGGAGACGGTCACGGGAGCGGGGCAGGCGCAGAGTAATCTACCGGCAGGACAGGACGATAGTGGACGTGACGCCGTTCAGCTGCGGCACCTGTCACAAGGGCTTCGACACTGCGTGTTCCCTGAAGAAACACGAGCTCATTCACACGGGTCACATGCAGTACCGCTGCAACCCGTGCGGGAAGTCCTTCTTCTACAAAGCCACCTATGACTACCACCAGCGGGTCCACTCGGGAGAGAAGCCCTTCGGGTGTGACGTGTGCGGGAAGAGGTTCATCATCCGTCAGGCGCTCAAGATCCATAAGCTGCAGCACTCTGGAGAAAAGCCGCACAAATGCGAGCAATGCGGCAAGGCCTTCCGCATGTACACGAACTACCAGAGACATCAGCTGATCCACACCGGAGAGAAGCCGTATGAGTGCGAGGTCTGCGGCGTGAGGTTCAGGCA